GTGAAGCCTGCTTGCTAAACGTTCAACCCCGCATTGTTATAGCAGCTTGGACCCTAAACCCTAAACCCTAAACCCTAAACCCTAAACCCTAAACCCTAAACCCTAAACCCTATACCCTAAACCCTATCCCCTAAACCCTAAACCCTAAACCCTAACCCCTAAACCCTTAAATTCAGAGCACCTGAAGGGATGAGGTGCCACCAGGGCTCACTTGTGCTCCTTGCGCCGCGCGTGCGGCGAAAAGATCTTTGCCGCGTCTTCACGGGAATATCTCGAGACTCGGATATATATGGTAGTTTCTCAAAATAAGGGGACCCCAATATAGACCCTTACCCGCCTTTATCCGTCTAGTTTGTAAAAGCTTTGCTTCAGTTCACGTCTAAATTCATACGCACGACGCTCCCCAAATTGACATGGAATCCCAGCAAGGCCAATGCAGGAACTACGGTCATGGGTTCAAATCTCACCTCAGGCAACCAGTAACATTGGTCAGGTCGTGCACGTGCCCAAGATTGTTACACAGAAGCGCCAGCAGCTTTCCGAGGCTCGTCCCGTGGGTTTAGGGTTTCGAGGCCTCACTTGCCAGGAAAAGCATGGAACGCCCACAATAACCTTCGAAAAGGACTCAGGTCCGGATAGGTCTCCCTTGGGACAATGCGCTTGTGTGGAGGGGGGTGGGGCGCGTGTAGGGCTTCAGACTTCAAGGTTTAGGGGTTTGTGGCTGTTAGGTTGATGATGTCATGGACAGCTACACTGTAGTGCGTACATAGGGGAGCATGTGGATTATTGTGGGAATGATACGAGGGAACTGGCGGAATTCCTTCAAAGACAGACATAAATGCGGAGGTTCCCTTCAGCACAAAACATTCGGCGTATTGCAGAAGATTGAGGCTTTGCATTCTTCGGGGTAGATATTCAAAAAAGCAAGCCCTGTTCAAGCACCCACGGTTCCCTTTCAGGTACTCCAGACGATAACTATGCAAGGAATGTAGGAGCACAATCTTCGTATTCATTTTGGAAGTATATTGTTTCATCAAGCTTTAGGGGCAGTCATATAAACTGCCTTGAGGATTCCCCACAAAAGTGTGTGCAACATGCCTGCGGAGTCCAGTCGCGACAACTGTTACTGAAGGGTATTGTGGACATTGATGTGACAAATTTGTAACAGAAGCGAATTTGGGGTCAAAATGATATTGGTGATTCTGCAGGCCCCTGTAGTGCCAAGGTTTGAATTTTAGATTTCATATGATGCACAAGTTTGTGTTTACTGCAATGGCTGGGTCCCCGTTCCCTCGCCGCCCCATTCCAATCGCCTGCAAGGCTGTAGATTTTGTGGACATACCGGTTCCTGAGCATGTGGACCAAATCGTGGAGGCCTTTGCTCCGATGGCCCATGGGTTTCGGATCTTGAGCCCAGGTACATATGGGGGTTATATAGGGACAATGGAAAAGAAAATGGAAACTACTATGGTACAATGGGGTATATATAGAAACTATTATAGTATAATAGGGTATATATAGAAATTAGTATAGTATAGTCAGTATAGTATAATAGGGCTCTTGAGGTTTGGACGGTGCTGGGAATGCTGGAGCTCAATTCTTGGTTTCTTGTCTGCAGGCAGCCAGTATCCTTCAGTTGCTTCTGCGTAGCTTTGGCAGCGATCCTAAAGAAAGCGAGCCAGTTCTGGGGATTCCGGGAGAATGAAAAAGAAACTGGGAACTACTATATTATACAGGGTTATATTAGGGTAATTTTGGCGTTGTATAGGGATTATGGAAACTACTATAGTACAATGGGGTTATAGAGGGCTATATAGAGAGAGAGGCTGCTTCCCAGATCTAGGAGGGCCTCTCATGTTTTCCAGGAGGTCAGATCACTGAAGAGGGTACATGAAGCTGCGATTGTATTTGGGGGTTTCCTTAAATTAGGGCATCATTTTGAGGGTCCCCGTTCTAAGGATTACTATATATTGGGGACTATGTTGGTGTCCACCTACTAGAGAAACTATGAGTTGGTCGTACGGCGGGTAGCCATCCAATGGTGCACGAAAATCATTGTTAATTGCTTGAGCACAGAAATCTCGACATTCAAAGTGTGTTCCACATCAAGATGCTAAGGCAGTTTCCAAATTAGGGGGCAGTCAAATTACATACCCCAATGTAGTATAGTAGTCCTCCTTATGGGAACACCCAAAATTGGCACCTCATTTTGGAACTCTCCTAGACCATGCTGTTTTTGCAGACCCCCGCACGGTGCAAACGTACGGCTTTGGCCCCCGTCAGTTGATAATTTTGAGGGGCTTTCCAAAAGTTTGGGGTCCCTTTTCGAGAGTCCCTACAACGAGGATAATATGTGGGAGGTCTTTACTGGGCCCCCTATCTAATAGGCAACGATTAGTAAAAAGCAAGTTATGAGGTGTGCCCCTCTTGCTACGCACCCTTCTTTCGCTTAACTTGCTGCCCAGACCCCAGCCCCAAGTGATGGCCAAAGCAGATTGTAGTCCAAGACCCCAAAACGTAGAAAGATAAGTACGACCCCCTACGACTTTAGCTTTAAAGTTTAACCATGTGCCTCAGACATATTGAGGACATTGCCCCGAAAGCCAGAGGGCCCCAACACGTGCCTAAACCCAAAAACCAAAACCCAGACCCAAAACCCTCAACAGTAGCTTCCATTTTCTTTTCCATTATCCTCATATAATCCCATTATATACACTATTTTAACATGGTACCCGGCCCAGGTAACCACCCTAAACTCTAAACCCTAAGAACCAGATAGAGACCTCACGCGACGCAGGTAAGAAAGCCTGTCAAACAGGCCTGCTCGCAGAAGCTACGCTGTGCTGGTTTAGGGTTGGTGGTTTAAGCTTTTTCTTTTGCATGGAGGGTCAGGGGTAGATTTGAAGTGGGTTGCAAGTAGTATTGTTATTACCTGCTGTAAACTAGCTACGGTCTTTGTAGCTGTGACCTTACGATTACCCTTGGTCACTGAGAGCAGCGCCGGAAATCCACTCTGTGAAGACATACCACTGTGAGAAATGTTTGACCAAAGCAAGTTGTTAGAAATTTTGAATCGCGACGGCTGCCGCCGCCGCAAATTTTTGGAAACTACCCAAAGGCTGGTGCTGTTTTTTGGGTCAGCAGGGAATGAAGGAATGGAAACGACATTTGGAACTACTGTTATAAAGAGACCTACTGAAGGATCAGCTTTCATTCCTTGCTAACCTACGGTAAAGTTGCACGCCATGAGGTCCTAGGTGCATGAGCTCGCCCTTGCAGGGTGATAGTGCGCCTCGGGGTTCTTGAATCAGATAATTGCTTATTCCTACACAGGTTTTGTAGCGGGTGGAGCATCGGACTTGTACGGGCGAGTATAGGAAGGGTTGCTTAATAGGGTGGGTGTGGCATTATCACTCAAACTGGGCAAGTGTTTCACACACGGTACACCGATTTTCAGAGACCCATTGCACAATCACATCCTAAACCCTGAACTCTACATAGCCTGTATTTAGCAATAAATTCACCAACCCGTATATAACCCTTAAAACCAAGCTGATGCGCCCTCAAAAGGAGCGAGTGGTCACCCGGCCAGTGGAGCAAAGGCTGGAAGTTGTGGTGCCCACGATCCACGAGGAGGCATCCCCCAAGTATCCCCCATGTATCCCGTTATATCCCTTATATACCCCCTATTTATCCCCTTTAAAAGGTAAGGGTTTAGTGTTTCCCAAACCGTAAAAACCCTGTGAAGCCTTGTAAGAGCCTAGGGCTTTCTCAAAATGGGAACCCTTGGCGGTTTGAGAGACCTTAGAAATATGCAGGGAACTTCAAAGGCAAGATGTGGGCTTTTTGTATCTTTAGGCATGCGTAGGCTCCAGAGTCAAGGGTTCACAGGCATGTTGTTTTTTTGTTTTGTTTTGGTTTCTCGGGCTTCTTGGTTCTGGACATCCTAATGCTTGAATACTTTTCTCGAACATCCTGCAAGACCCTGGACGGTACGATGTAGGAATCAGAATGGTGACCACAGCCAATTCGGTTTAGTCCCTACTCGAATCTTCTGTGCAAGCTGCGACATCGTGTTCATTTCCAGGGAAATCACAGCGCGGGCATTTTGACACCGACAAACCTGCAGAGCATTTTCTTCCTCGCAGCATTGACATGTTCTGAACCAAGCTACTTTGGCAAATATGGTTTTCGAAGCAGTCCACATCCCCGTGTAGCCATATAGCCATATAGATCCCCAGATCGTGGTGGTGCCGAAGCTATTCTATGCCGAGCGCCAGACTCATGTCTCTGTGGAGAAGTTGGCATCTCAGAACAGGGATGAGCAGTTTTGACTAAGGTGGTTTAGGGTTTGGATCCAAAGTAAAGTTTGAAGTGGGTTCATAGTGAACCTGTCTCACATCTTCCTAGCTCCAACGCTGGATCTTCTCAACGTGTTCCTGAAGCACAACACCGGAAATACTAGTCGTGAGGGAAGATGCGTGTCTAGATCTTCACAGAAGGTGGGATAGTGAATGGGTACCATTTAGTTGATCCATCCACCCACTGATCGAAGCCACGAGGAACCGCAGTAGTTGTATTAGGGCGTCAGAAGGGTCCCTCAGTCTTCCTTGCTGCTGGGACTGTACGCGGTGGAATATGGGGCTCTTATATCCGACCGGTGCATTATAGGGCCCTCAAATCCCGAGCCTTAAAGCCTTTCCTCGTAGTCTGCAAGATCTTGGGCTTCACAAGACAGGTTTTGAACCAAGGGGGGCCTCGTTCAAGGAACCCTACGTCATATTCTCGCACACAACTGCAGCCCAAAACCTTTGCTTTACCCTGGCTCTCGGGCCCAAGGATCGTGGATGTACCAGTGCTGCAGGTGAAAGAAGAGGCCCAGCTGGTCTACCTATCCTGGCTATCAGAATAGGGCCCGAATAGGGTTTCATATAGGATCTGGTAGAGTTTTAACAGGGTGTTTCTAGAACATACATGGTAGTCTCCCAAACTTCGGGACCCCAATATTGACCCCAATATATTATAGTCCTCAATATAGGGACCACCCAAAGGGGATGCCTAATTTTGGGAACCCCCACATTACTTCCTTGTAAACCCTAAAACAAAAACCGTAAACCCCCTAAAACCGAAAGGGATATCTTGACAGTTTGGCTTCAGGGTGCAGCGTTGGCTGAGCGGGCAGCCTGCTGATAGCCCGGGGATGCAGACTGAAACCGCTACCCGGATACCATCAATAATTGGGTTTAGGGTTTAGGGTTTGACAGTGGGGCTTTATAGGGCTTATGTTGGGAGAATGGAAGGGAAGATGGAAGCTACGGGGATTATTGGGGTTATCCCCCTAAAGTTCTAAAGGATCCAAAAGATGGAGCCAAAATAACACCCATTATTACATTGGAAAAAGCTAGAGGAATATGGGGAACTTCCATTTATTGGATCCTTTAAGGGGTCTGGGTGGGCTATTACTACTATGACTAATTTACAGGGTTTGTTATTATTCGGGGGGTTCAAAAAGTTTGCGAGTGAGGTTCTAAGTTTTGGGTTTTGATTCCGTTTGGTCCGGACTCCCCATTGGGGTACATGGATAGACAAGAGGTTCATCATAGATACTTGGATGTTGTGTGGCCTGGCTTGCTTTCATCAAATGGCTTAATGAGGGCATACCCAGAAGTCGGACTCAACCCAAAACCCTAGGCCCTAGGGTCCAACCTAAAGGTCGCACCTTAAAATCCATTGATTTAAGAGGGCTTGCAAAGGGGCCAGTACGAAGGCCTGCGTGGGTAGACCTGTGCCGTGCTCTGGCGCCTTCACTTACGTAATGCAGGAGCCACACGATTTACCATGGAATTCTACAAGGTTATATACGGATTACGTTGGCGTAAGGGATACTAAAAAGCAGAATCGAATGGACAAGCACATGGAAACTGAAGTGGAAACTGGCAGTACGGCAAGCGAAAGTGGTCATTGGGTGTATATGGGGTGTAGAGGCATCATTGCCAATGTCATGGTGCTAGTTTCCTAGATTCCCTGTATAGTTTTGTTGCTAGAGGGTACCTCAACACCCTAAACCCTAAGCCACATACCTCAGATAGACCTCAACCTTTTATACTGGTAATCATCTAGGTCCCTACGGTACCATAAACCGCGTGAAGGTCGTCCACGTGCCCAAGCAGATCGTGAAAGAAAGGACCGCTGCGCTGGGGCTGTGCCTTCATTGCTTTGGGCTCAAGGTTCCTACCAAAGGGTTTAGTGGGTTATATTAGGGTTACATTGGGGTTATATTGGGGTTGTATTGGGGTTATATAGGGGCTATATAGGGATTATAGAGTATTTATTGGGGTTATATGGGGATAATGGAAAATAGAATGGAAACTACTATTGTAGAAATTTTATTAAGGTTATATTGGGGTTATATGGGGATAATGGAAAATAAAATGGAAACTATTATAGTGGGT